GTAATTGAAACACAAAATATAAGTATTAGAGGGATTACAAAAGAGGCTATAGTTAATATGGGCCGATAATTTGCTGGAGCCGTTGGTAAATTTATGTAATTGATTTTGCTGTGACAATGTATACATGTATGAACAATTATGTGAATATGGTGTTGTGTGTTATAGGAAGTAGGTGATGTCTTAAGTCTTTTGGTTATGTCATTTGAATCAAGAGGGGGAGGTTAAAGTACTTGATCGGAAAGAATGATTATATTTGTTCTTTGGCAGTGAATGGCTTATTTGTACTTGACTGTGACCCACCCACCACTCAATTGTAATTTGGCCAGCTGCTATTAGACATCGCTCAGCATGACTAGTTGGAAGACAACCATGTAAAAATAGTGTGAATAGAATAAACGTCTGTAATGAACAACGAAAAAATAAAGTTTTTATTTTTTATCTTAACCATCAATATACAACAAGTTTACAAAAAAATTCGAGTAAGAATAAAGTAAAAAGTTGAACAATAGGAGATACAGGTGATGGTTGAATTATCTCGCCTGGAAGAAGAATTGATTTCATAATGGGGAATAACTTGTTAAACTTTTCAGACATTTTTGTACATTGTGTATGATCTGACAAGTTACGTGTAATCCAATAACCCAAATATTTATACTCAGACGCTTCTTTTATCTTTGAGTTCCCAATCTGCCAATCTTTGTTTTTGTTAACTTTCTTGTTAATGATCAACACGTTTGACTTTTCCTCATTAATTGTCATCTTCCATAGCTTGCAGAAATGGTTTGTGACATTTAACATGGATTTGAGTTGGACCTCATTTGGTGCAATAAGCACCACATCATCAGCAAAAAACAATCCATTTATACAAATTTCATCCAATTTAACACCAAGTAGTGAATCATCTAACAGTTTTTTTAATTCATTCATATAAATTGAGAATAACGTTGGGGCTAAAACACATCCTTGTTTTAAACCCTCATTCTGTGTAAAATAATCTGTTTCAATATCGCCAAATGATACTTTACTTTCAATATGGTTATATGTATTTTTTATTATACGCCATAATTTGCCCTTTACACCATTCTGCCATAAAGCATACCATAAACCTTCTCTCCAAATGCTGTCATAAGCCTTTTTAAAATCTAAGAAGGCAAAATATGTATGCTTTTTCTGGTGTTTACGAATTGAAGCTATCCCTTTTAGAATGAACACTTGGTCAATTGTCCGTCTGTTTTTCCTGAAACCCCCTTGAATTTCCCCTAAAATATTATTAGATTCCACCAAATCGGTTAATTCTTTTTCAACTATTTTACTATAAATTTTTCCAATAACTGAGCTGAGTGAAATGCCTCAATAGTTATTCAGATTTTTTATATTGCCTTTCTTGTGTAATGGTATTATTATGCTTTTTCCCCAATCTACAGGGACAACCTCAAGGTGGAGACACATATTAAACATCAATTTTAATGAGTCTGTCACTACTTTGCCACCACCTTTGATGATTTCATGGGTGATTTCATCTGGTCCTGCAGCTTTATTATTCTTGAGATCTGATATTATTTTATTTATTTGTTCATCCTTTACGGAGATATTATTTACATTTTGTGAGAAATCTTCTTCATACTTGGCTATTGAATCTAGAACTTTTTTTTTCAAACATCTTTGATTCTTGGAAAAAACTATCTTTCTCATACAAAGTTTGATGACTTCTTTCACCCAAGTGTTCCCAATAATTTATCAAAACATTTTTAACTTTATCTTTTTCGATGATTAATTTATGTTCCTGGTCAAGAACAACTGAAGAATATGTTCTTTGTTTAGGACCCTTTAGAATTGACCAGTACTTTCGAGTTGATTTACCTCCACATTTACCAACCTCAATACACTGTTTAACTTTGTTTTCAATTTTTTTCTGTTTTATAAGATTTTGGACATTATTTTTATCTTCTAGATATTTATTCCATAATATTTTACCTTCATTGTCATGGTAACTGCTGTTTTCTTTAACCCACTCTCTGTGTTTTTTATTTGATTTTTTCCTTTCATTTATTGCACTTTTAATTTCTTGATCAAACCATGGTTTAGCACTACCGGTACTTGATGTAATTTTTTTGCCTATAACCTCACGACATGTTTCAATTGTATTATTTAACCACTGGTTCCAAACTTCATCACATGCTGATTGTTTATTTGTTGTATTAGTTGCCAAACGCACGGTATCATCAAAGGATGATAACTTGGTGGTTAAAACATTTTGAAATTCATTCCAATCAGTGTTTTTGTTTATATCCCATTTTTGTGTTTTATTTATTTTGTGGTCTCGTTTTAAAGTTGGAATGTTTAGAGTGGCATACATAATATTGTGGTCACTACCGATATCAAATATTCTATCCTCATCTACAAACAGCTCTGTTACATTATACTTAAAGCTGTTATTTGTTAACATATAATCTATGACCGATTGTTGTGTATGGCGAAACCACGTCCATTTACCAATGCTAATATCACTGTTGTTAAGCAATGAAAGGTCAAAATTATTTATTAATGAAATTAATTTTTTACCATTATTATTTACAGTTTTATCACCTGAAATATTCCCAATTCTACCGTTAAAATCCCCTAGCAATAGATACTGATCATTTGATCCTTCTAAATTACTAATATTACTAAATAATTCATGATACAGTTCATCAACCCCATCCTTGTTTGTATTTTCTGGGGGAACATATACCACACATAAACTCAATGTTTGCCCTTCACCTACTTTTAATTTGATCCATAATCTTTCTATATCATCATCCTGTGATTGGAATAAATTATCGTCTATTACCTGGAAATTATTCTTAACTAAAAAACCGATTCCCCCACCGCCCTTTTTTAATTTTAGTTTACGGTTTTTACCAAACCATTTGTAACCTTTTACAACTGGTGTTTTACTGTTTTTTAGGAAGGTTTCAGTGCCTCCAAAAATGTCCAAATTTAGTTCCCTAAGCAAGGGGCTAAGCTCATGCTCTTTAGACTTCAACCCTCTGAAATTTACATATCCTAGCCGTAATTTTGAAGCAAGTGATTTTGATTTGTTGGCTTTTCGTCTTGTTTTATGGGTAGCTTTATGGCAGTTAGGATTGTTAGATGAAACACTACTGGACATGCATGTATGGCTTTGAGTTTTCACTACTTTGTCAAAGAGAACATTTGAGTTTGCGGCATTTGGTAAAATTATATCATCCTTAAAAGTCTCATTAAAGCCCAGTTAGTCCTGGTTTAAATATTCTATAAGAGTCTCCTTTTCACCGGCACACTCTTCTTGGCCATTGTGCCACTAGGTACTGCTTTGCTATTACTGCCAACTCATCTAAATCTTTGGGTGCTCTTTCTTTAAGATAAACTGCAAGATCTTTTGTACAGGCACCAATAAACTGCTCCTTCACCAACAAGTCGGTAACACCATCATATGTTGCTGCAGTGCCTAACAACTCAACCCATTTAGCAAAATAATTCTTAAGCCGCACAATTAACTGGTCAGGACTCTCGGAACTTTCAGGTTTAATTTCACGGAATCGCTTCCTGTACCCGTCCTCTGTGAAATCGTATCTTGTCAACAGCGCCACCTTCACACGATCATAGTCAACTGCATCAGTGTCGGACATCCTGGAATATACTTCCAGTGCTCTACCAGTCAACAGCGCACTCAATTTTGTGGCCCATCCATTTCTATGCCAACTCACATTCGTTGCAAACCTCTCAAACCGCAATAAATAACTATCAAGTTCGTCCTTACCATCAACAAATGCAGGCATCTTTGGTGACTGTGCATCACTGACCACA